CTTTCCAATCCAGTATGTTTTGCATATTGTCTGTGGTTTGCATTTACGATTGGACATGTAGACAAGATTAGGCATCAGACAGGATTAGACATTAACACTGCAGTTTTACTGTGCGGTAAGCAAATTTTAATTTCAAAAAATGTCATTGTTACGAACAAAAAACGCTACTACTTGAACTCATGCCTCAGCCAATTTAACCCAAAAACTGCAGACGAACTGAGATGTTTTTATCATATGATACAAAAGCAATGACACTTAGACAACATACTGGCTAGGCGTTTTGACGAAACAATCTCCTCACTGAAAGCACGAAAGCTTAATTCAACTGTTCGACTGGCCTTTCATTGTAAGGTATCAGCAGTGCATTTCAGAATATAAGAACAGCTGCTACAATTTTCAGAGCAAGGAACCGCTTGGTTGTTGTTGACTAAAGTAATGGACAAAAATTAGAGTTGATTTTTCAAACCAGATTTTGTATTCACTCGGTTTTATCCTGATTCCTAAGTAAAACAGAGTGGTGTTTTGCCCCGCAGTTATCTTTGATACAATGTCTTGCAGAAGTAAAGTCATTTGACCGATGGTTACCCAGGCAGTTGAAGCTCAACTGCTTACTCTTCACTAACTGAGACTTTGTTGCGTAGTTAGCTTTACAAAAGCTGGGCAGTGTCCAATGTAGTGATCTTTATTGTCCAGCGGACATAATTTTTTTCGATTTCATTGGTTCATTCTTGAAAGTATTCTTTTCTTCGGTATGCTGGCTGTTACGCATGATTACGAAAGATTTTCGTTGTTGCTTGTTTGTCGAAACTTTGTTTTCCGTAAAAGGGTGTGGTGCATCGGGTAAAGTTTCGAAGTTTTTGCAAGCTCCAGAGTAGTTGTTAAGCCAGTCCGTGAGATCTTTGAGTGTAGCATCATCAATCTCACTTTGTACGCAGTATTCTTCTCAATTGAACACGACTGCAGGAGGAAGTTTAGAGCGAGCAATTCGAGTAAATTTACTCGAGTTCATGCGGTCCTTGTACTTGTTTAGTTCGAAATTGTGCACCAACTTACGTAGAAAAGCAGCGAGCCTGATCAATATTTGAGTTTCATTAAAATGCAGTTGTTGAAAATTTTCCAGCTCCTTAGTAAAAACTGCAAAAACGAATTTAGGGTTGCCACATCGCGCATTAGCTCCTCTGTTGCTTGAATATTCTGTGAAAAATTCGTGTCGTAGCTCTCCACGACGTTTTTGAGGGTTATCGACACAAAATGACTGCAGTTAAGTTATTTTCCCACATCAGAAACTTGGGATTGTTTCCTATTGCAGTTTGGAACAGCTCAAACCAATTATTCTATTTTAATGGACTACCGTCGAACTTTGGGAGCTTAATATCAGGAAGCTTGAAATCTTTGAGAATATAATGAAAAGTGTGGTTGCTCGTGTTCTGGTGAGTACAACGGAGGCCGTGATTGACTGGAGTCACAATTCTTGAACACGGTCGATCCGTAAAGAGCACGTTGAGACCATTAGCACCAGTCTGTGCCTGTTGTAGTGATGGATTCAGTGGGTATTGATCCTTTCCAGATAACTCTAGGTTCTCATAGGAACCAAGTCGATCGTATATATCATCACTTTGTCGTCGATGTGCTGGCCATGGAACCTGTTGCATAGATCTCGAGTTCTCTGTCGTAGTGTAAACTCCTTGGGTAGTGTAGTCGTAGCAGATTGGCTGGCGAAACGCAAACGGGTCAGATGTTACCGTTGTTGTAGTAGTATTGAAACTAATGGCTGCCGTAGAAACGTTGTACGTGTTGTTATAAGTTGGAATGCTACTGCTGGCTGGGATTGTATGTGAAGATAGGGGCAGAGTAGAGAGACTGGAGGAGTCATCTATCTACATCCCAATGTAGTGTTTTTAGTCTCATCGCATTTGTTTCATTAGCGAACATTTGCGGCTTTGTAGTGTGTAGTCATCGCTTAGAAGATTTTGCACGTCTGCTAGAGTGCACGAAGATATATCATTTGCCATTTCTTGCAGTTCTTGCAATTTTTGATAATGGGGATGATTTCTCGGGTGTAAAAACGTAAGCCTGGATTATTTGATAAAAACAACTTAATGAAAGTTCCTGAGCTGAGTGGCCATTGACATTCGAACGAGCTGCTGCTAATTTGATGGTTGAAGAGGAACAGAATTTCAACATCCTCGAATTCCGTAGATCGTGTAATTTTGCTGCTAAGTTATCGTTCAAGGCTCTCATGAGAAGTGTAGCGAAACGTCCAATTGTTTATGAGCGCTTGTTGTGATATTTTTGCAGCCATCGTTAAAGCAGTGAAAAAAATATAGAAATGGTTCACAAGAGCTCAATTTTGACAAAAGTCGAACGCAAAGACCTAGCTTTATTTGAAGTTCCACACCGATATAATATTGAAAATTTTCCAATCCAGTATGCTTTGCATATTGTCTGTGGTTTGCATTCACGGTTGGACATGTAGACAAGATTAGGCATCAGACAGGATTAGACATTAACACTGCAGTTTTACTGTGCCCTATGCAAATTTTAATTTCAAAAAATGTCATTGTTACGAACAAAAAACGCTACTACTTGAACTCTTGCCTCGGCCGACTTAACCCAAAAACTGCAGACGAACGTTTTAAAGGATTTAACCATCCACCCCTCCGATAATCGAAAATTTAACCTGTCTCTCAAACCCCACCTTTTTAACTGATATATCCCCTGGTCCAGTCCAGTCGGAGCAGCTAATTTCCCTGGGCTGAATCATATTTAGAGCACGGCAGTGTCGCCATAAGACTGGCTCACAGCCTCGACTTTGAAAAAGTTTTCCCGTTACTCGCTGAGATGTTTTTATCATATGATACGAAAGCAATGACACTTAGACAACATACTGGCTTGGTGCTTTGCCGAAAAATGCGACGACATGAAAATAAATTGAGGTGGACTAAGCTACTGCATTAGAGTGACGCTATTCTAATCAGAGTCAACTGGTACTGCCGTATGAGAAGCTACTAAAAACCTTCTTAAAAACTTACTTAGAAGCTCTAAACAACTACTAAATTTCGTAGCCAACAGAAAATTGAAAAAGTGTCAATGAACACAAAGAAACAAAAAAAACTTGTATATTGATCACTATCAAGCTTTGAAATTGAAATTCCAGATAATGGCTTTAAAGCTCGTAGAACATTGAGAAAAAAAATATGATCGCCACTTTTTGATAGAAATAATTCAATTTCATGTTAAAATCCGCTTGAAACTCTAGAAAATATAATTTACTTGAAAAACTGGAATACGATCAGATTTTTGTCACCTTCTGCTGTTCAATACTGGGGTTTCTTCTTGCTTTCAAGAGAGGAAATCAAATGCATATAGAAAGAAATGAAAGGTCAAACTGTGAAAAATCAAATTTGAGCATGAACAAATTTCAAGATTTTTCCTGCAAAAAAAAACAAAAATCATCACTGACACCTGGGAAACCAAACAATGTTCATGCATAAATGGAGTATTGAACAACAAGTCAGACCATTCTCAACAACACCTAACCGAATTAAACGAAGCGCTGCCCGAGCAAGGGCTATAAAAACAACACTACGACGATTAACAACGACAATAAATACATGTATGCAGGAAAGGGAAAAACATTTTTCAAAAAGGAATTTTAACAGCGGCACCAAATTCAGTAACCTTGTTTCCCCTAGGGATGTTTGGTACGAACCACTCAAAGTTTTTTTGTTACGACCTTTGAAATTGAGTAGGAACTTTGTATTCGGGTGTATTTCAGTTTTTCTTTTTTTTATTTTCCACGCAAAATCAGCTACCACAAATAATCTTCGGATTGATCTGAGTGATATATCCTATTAAGGTTCTTTCTGTCGTGATTCGAATGACAATAAAAAATGTTGTGCTGAGAAAAACCGGTACAAAATTTTTCGTTATTTCAAGCGAGTAAAGCGAGCGAGCAGGTTTATAAAACCCTATTTTTGCTTGAGAAAAGTTTTTAGGCGCCATTTTGTTAATCAAAAAATAGTTTTTTTTAAATTTTTTTTTGTTTTTTTAAATACTATTTTTTTCTACAAAAATTGTCCAATTTGCTTATTTTACTTGGACCGTTGAGTATGTGTAGGTTCTAGTTTTTCGTTCATATCCTTTTATCACACCATGCAGAAAAGACGACGCTAATTTGAAAAAAAATTTTGTGTTTTTTAAAGACTGATCGAAACATTCTGAGCTGTTTGCACAGTAACCGGCTATCCTTATTCCTACTTCAGAAATTAGATACCATTGTTGATTGAACTAGAACGAAGTGAGACTGAAATGCTACTCAATCTTCTATGATTCTTCTTAATTTCGATTACGGTATAGCTTATATGACACCTGCACACAAATTCAAAAAACCATATGATTTTCGAAAACTCAACGAAGTATATAAGAAGCTTCTGATTTCGATGAATTAGGTGCAAAAATAAATAATAACTAAGCTCGGTATAGTGTTTGTAAAAAGTGTTTCAACTATTTTGTTTGTTTTTGGTTCCCCGTCTGAATTTTGTTTTTCGGATTTCTTCAGTATTTCGGATTCTATCCAGTTTTTCTCAGAATTTTAAAAAAATTTGCTCAGCACGATTTAAAAAAGTTAGCAAAATAAAAAACCGTACGAATTGTAAAACTCTCGTTTAATTTTCAGAAACAGCCGCGCTATTTTACTTTCAGTGAGAGATTATTGCAATTGATAAATTTTCCTGAGTGAGAAAATAAAATATTGCAAATCAGTGAAGCAAAGTTTCTAGATTTTCTATCAAAGTTCTATTAACTCTATGAGAAAATAGGTTGCCAATTATGTTTTATTTAAAGAGAAAATTTGGGTTCCAAAATTAACGAATTAATTATTTGAACCAATTATCCACCTCTTATTCATAGACATTTTACCCAGTCTAATTTAGTTTTTAAGGAAATCGCATGGAGCGAGTGTAACCATCGGATTTTGCAGGCTCAAGATGGAGGTACCAACTGTTTCAGGATTGAATTAATATCAAATGATATGTCAGTGTTTTTAAATGACTATTTACAAAATTTTGTGTTCATCATTAACATAGCATTAAAATTCTTTAACAGTTCGGCCATGACATAAATTGCCATCTAAGTTAGATTTGCTCTGTACAATTTTGGTTATTTGACTCTATATACGAGTATGTCAATTAGATCACGAGAGGACGAGATGACTAAATTTTAATGTAATAATTGGTTGGATAAAGAAATAATCTGTATGGCTTTAGGTTATATCAAGTTTTTCTTGTGCTTGCCTCTTGCTTTGAACGCTGTCGCGCAACAGCGTAGAATGACACCGGTGTTATACCTTTCTCTTCAGAACAAAAATCCACAAACAATTCTTCCACTCGTTTTTTTTTGCTCAACCGTTGCGCAGTTTGCGGATAGAAATACACTGTTTTCGTTGATTTTTTTCGGAGTCATTTTATCCCAGTCCCAATCCAGATTTTTGGCCATTTCAGTCTGGCTATTTTGATCTTTGGAATATAGCCACACATAGTTCATCGGGTTATCCTGTCCTTTCATGCCAAAATCCAGAACAGTCCTGTAAAACTGGATATCTAGTTCGTCTTTTCTCAGAATTTGATCGCCCTGTAAATTCATTGACTTGAGCTCCAAGTACGAATTGAATTTCTTTTTCAGGTCTTGTAGATATGATTTATTATAGCTGCTTAACTCGTCCACATTCGCTTCACAGACTATTTTTCCAATGTCTCGCAGCTGAATTTGAAGCAAAATTCTTTTGCAGTCCTCAGCTTTAGAATGATTGAACAAGTTGATAGCCTGAAGTAAACCGTCTGTCATATTCACGAAGGTATACGGATCCTTGTGGGCTTCTAAAATTGGCAGTGAAACATCTGGATACACACTTGAAGGAACTTTTAGAAATTCATTGGCAGTTCTGAAGAGTTCTATGTACAGTCTTTCTATTGGTTTAATGACCCTATGCTGGTACACCTTTTTGTGTAATCTTTTCCGTTGTTCGAACATCTGTAATACGTTGTCGAATTCACGTTGCGGCCAAGCTATGTGAGTTTTATTATCACTGTCAGTAACAACCTTGCAGAGCTTCAGGAGTCTTTTGGACTCGAAACTGGTGTTGATTCCCACATGGTGACTGTCGCGACATATGTAATCCCACTTATCAACGTCTATTCCGGTTTTCTTGTTCGATACGATTTCGTAGAAAAAATTTTTCTTATCATCTTTACTTCGTTCTGAGATCCGTGTTTTTTCTTCTGAATCAATTAACTCTTTAATAAATTCCAAATCATCTTCGTTCAGGTCTAGCTCTTTTCGAATGGTAGAACCCTCTTTCAACATCATTTCGATAAATTTTATTGTCATTTCTTCATGAACAAATTCTTTTATTTCGTGTTTGGTGCTGTTTTCGTTGAGTATTTCGGGTGTCATTTCTTCATGAACAAATTCTTTTATTTCGTGTTTGGTGCTGTTTTCGTTGAGTATTTCGGGTTTGGTGCTGTTTTCGTTGAGTATTTCTATGTGCGCCTTAATAAGAATTTCCCAAAAATGAGAAAACGGCCCATGGCCTAAGTCATGCAGCAAAGCAGCCATTTTAACACAAAGTAAGTCTTTGTCATTTGATAAAATGTCTACAATGCTGCAGGCATCAGTAGAATCTGGATCATGATTTTCGATCGGAGATTCCCGCTCGTTACTCTGTACTTCAATCCCAATAGGACTTTCGACCTTGATCAAACGTTCCCGCTCATCCGTTATACTTTCGTTTTCAATCGCAATAGTTTCGTCAGTTTCCGTTCGTTTAACTTGTTCATTCTCTTTCGCAACTTTCAGCAGGCTCTCTAACAATTCGCCAGCAAGATGACAAGTCCCGATCGAATGCTCGAATCTCGTGTGTGAGGCTCCTGGGTAAACACTGTAAGCAACTCCGAGTTGTCTCAAATAGTGCAGACGTTGGAACTGAACAGTATCTATGAGTTTTACCAATTTTAAATCCAAGCCTATTGGCCCATAGATCGGATCGTTGAACGTCTTAAATGGCATGCCGATAAAAACGAGAGTGATATGGTGAAGTTTTTATCTCAATCTGAATAACAGCAAAAGATTTTATGTTATCGTTGCAGCAGTAAGTTGTTGGTGACAGCGTAAAAGTCTAGTAAAGTTCAGCAGTAACCACTAGTAACAACAAAAAGTATCTGTTGTGGTTCCAGCAGTAAACCGATTGTAACAGCAAAAAAAACTTTATTAGAGCTCCAGCAGCAAAACATTTGTTATTGTTTCATCAGTAAGCTGCTTGTAACAGCAACAGAACATATGTTATATTTTTTGCAGTGCATTCGTAACAGCAAAAAATTGACCTGTCAATGAATAGAAAGGTCTAAGAAAAGAAAGGGTCTATGAGGAGAAAAACAGAATTAAATTTTGAATAAAGCGGGCTTATAGATTTTTAAAAAGAGTATTGTAATCTTCAATAATAATAAATGAAAAAAAGTATAACTAAGCAATACACAAAAAATTATTTGAGTATTATTCATTTTTTTCGTTGTTAGTATTGACGATTGTACTGTTTGTTTCAGCAATAAGTTTATAAAAATCAATATTTTTTGTTTCTCTGCTCTTAGACCATTCTGCATAGCAGTTAAACTATCAGTTGTAGCAGTTAAAATATCGGTTAAACTAATCAACAAAATCAGAAGAACTTTCAACTCGTTAGTAATACATGTTGGGGTAAATGAACGCAAAAGTCGTTCTTTTCAAGTTAGAAAAAAACTGCTTCGATTAGTTTCATGCAATTTGATGAATTAGTTATCGCAAGCACGGATTTTTTCTCCGAAAAACTAAACCCACCTAAGCGGCGCAAGCGAGCAGACAGTAACTCCTAAAATAAAATAAAATAAAAAAATTTCAAGCTGTATGCCAACTTGAGAAATGCGAGTATCCAAGTTAACGATCTGGTACCGAAAATGATTGATGTGGTTGTTCACAAGGTCCGGCTCAGTAGAAGACTTTTGAAAGTCTTTGAAAAAGAAGTTTTACAAGGAACACGGCAAACATTTTTTTTGCGGAAAAAATATTGAATTCAATTAGAAAAACTAAAAGCCAAGTGAACGCTAAATGAAGTTCCCAAAACTAATTTTCTTGGAGTAAACGTTCTTCAGTACTCAATGAATTTTTTATCCATCCGGTGGAACTTGCACGAAAATTCAAAAAATTTCCAACCAGTTTTCTTCGACACTTGAAAATTTATTTTGGCATTTTCTTGTCTTTTAAATCCAGACTAGAGGGGTTTAATCGATGATTATGTTTAAATTGATTCGACCCATTCCAATAATTATGTATGATAATTGATTTTGTATTTGCCTTTAGACAGACCTGATTACAAAGATCTACCCTATTTTTAATGGTCGGAACACTTAATGAGTAGATAAGTAGTCTTTGACAAAAAAAAACAAAGAATCAACACGATTGTGGCTGCACCAAGCAGAACAGACAGGCGACACTCAACTCGCCGCGTCATGCAACTTTAATAGCAAATAACTACATCGGTATCATACAAGTTGTCTCAATATTAAACTTCACTAAAATTTAAATGAAGTGTAAAAAACTTTATCTACGTTCACTGATATTCCAACAGAGCTAAAAATGAGGTTCCTCATAGGAAGATATTTGTCATCTAGTCCAAACCAAACGGTTCAATTTAGAATAAAAAAACTGCGCTTGGATAACGTTTCTTAAACAAAATAACATTTCCTACGAAACCAGAAGACTTCAATATCAAACATTTGAGCTGCCGATTTACAAATTCAATTTTTTTGGATTATTTTTGATTAAATTACAACAAATTCAAATTATTGTCATACTATTTCTCTTCTCGAAGTTTTCGGTTAAAAAAATATATGCCATAAAATGCATCATGATCAAATGTGCATATACGGGCATCGTGATCAAATATAAGCATACGAAAGCCCAATGTGATCTGACTTGTTCATTTTTGCCTAAGCTTTTGCAAAAATCAAAAGAAAGAACAAATCATGAAGTAACGTTCTGCCGCTGAAGAACTACACAAGAGGTCATTTTGTTCAGTGGAGAAATTACATGGAATGCTCTACCTACTGTTATGCGTGATATAAAGAACACGTACAAAAATGGAACAAGCTGTGAAGACCTAATTATTCTTCCTATCACTTTTATCATTGAGTGAACGTTTCCGATATGAATTGGTGCTCAAACTTAAATCCTCTTTATCATATTTTGTAAAAGTTGCAGAAATTAAGCCTATTGGTAAATCTGTCGAAACCTTTTACCCAGTAAAGCAATTTGCAATTTTTTCAAACCTGTTTAAATTGATTTGACGTATAGCGAAAATTTGACAAGTAGGGAGACAAAAACTTGCGACACATAGGCGAAGGTGCGTTTTGCAAATAAAAAGTGAATAAAAATTAGAGCTAATAAAAAAGTCTAGGAAATACAATTGCCGAATGGTAAATTGTTTAGTGTCTTTGATAAAAGGTAAATACTACTCATTAAGAAAAAACCTTAAAAGATTAATTTTACTTTTTTCAATATGAAACTTTTGCTATGTGTTGGATCCGACTGTCCTACCTGATTAGGAGTCTCGCGTCCTCGCAATTGCGCTAAAGTGTTTTGACAATAGGCAAATACTACCCGTCAAAGCAGCAAAAAACACATGCTGTCAAACTAACAAAATTTTCACATGCTGTCAAACTAGCAGTAAATGTGCCTTTAAACTGACAAAACTATGCAGCATAAAAGTCACTGAATAGACTCCATTATTTTTAGGATCTCTTGTGTAAATACCACGACTAATCAGTAGGTGCTTTACTCAACTGGTTGATGGTAAAAATCACCGTATCAGATTTAAAATAGTCTATTCGCAGTGAAAACAGAACATTTTACTGCATCAACAGCAAAAAAACTTTCCAAAAAAAAAATCTTCAAACAAGGTTAGATAAGTACGAAATTCGAACTCGACTAATCTCGACTATGGCATTTTTGTTTTAATCATGAATCCCTTTTGCCTGAATGTGTGACTATGTTCAAACTGACAGTTAGATACGTGCGAATGAACAACTCGAAATAACAATTATGAATATGAAAAACAGTGATAAATTAAAAATTTTGCAGTATCGGAGCATGGAAATGAATCATAATGTTGATCATGTTGTCCAACGTTATTTCAGTTTTTGACTATGCTTTCTTTCAGCATTCTAAAACTGAAAGCGTTAAATCAGCTTATAATGGTTATTGAGGAGCCACTGAGCTGTCAATCTCTGGAAAGAAGCTAAAATATTGAGCATTAAATAAACAATTTTTACGCCACCATCGACCTGAATTATCTTTTTAAGTTCTTATCAAACTTTCATCCGTCAAATGACAGAAAACGACAAATAAGCCGATTAAGTATAAGTCGAAACCATAAGGCCGGAAAAAGCGCTTAAGCAAAAGAGAGGTAAATATACAGTCAGGGCTATTAAATTTACAATTTACTGGTGTAAATTATTAACACAGGCAACTACAACAAAACTGTCTTACAGCGCGAGAAAATTCCGTGATAAGGCAAAATAGCCAACAAAACATGAGTTAGCATACAAACGAAAGAAACATTTGGAAGAAAAACTGTTTTCTACGTCAATTTCAATCTGAGTTTTTCTGTGGAAAAATAAAAAACCAACAGACATTTAAAAAAACCGTCAATGAACGCGATTGACTCACTGACTTAATTTTTTTTTTGAAAAAATCTTTACACTCTTTTTTTGAAAAAATATCAAAAGCCTGAAAGCTCTTCGAGCTTCTAGGACAATTCATGATTGAAACTTTTTGATAAAACTAACCCAATTTGGGCAAACTGGATCAAAAGGTCAACTTTTTGTCCCGCGAAAAAATGTGAAAATGAAAAACTTCTTTTGCAAAAAGTAGTCAATCACAATTTTCGTGGCCATCAAAATTTTGCAATTCCAAAAGAAAATTTGTCTTCATCCAAAAATGTGAACAACACATAAAAAGAAGCCAAAATCAAACAGGCAAAAATCAAAAATGAGCCTGAACAAAAATGAAGATTTTTCCTTAGATAAAAAATCATAATAATCTTGATTTATTTAAAAGTCTGAACTACGTTCATCGTTATTTGAAAACTAGACTTGGAGCTACACGCTTTTAAATTTTATCATATGTTTTTGTTTATTTGTGGCTAATCATAGCCTTTGTGTATTCGAATAACTTTTCCTTCATACTTCATACGAGAAATTTTCGGCTCACATAAGAGAAATTTTGAGAAATATTTTTAAAAAGAAGTTTTACAAGGAACAAGGCAAACATTTTTTTGCGGAAAAAAAATATTGAATTTAATTAGAAAAACTAAAAGCCAAGTGAAATCTAAATGAAGTTACCAAAACTAATTTTCTAATTAATTAATGAAATTTTTATCCATTCGGTGAAACTTGCACTAAAATTCAAAAAATTTCCAACCAGTTTTCTTCGACACTTGAAAATTTATTTTGGCATTTTCTTGTCTTTTAAATCCAGACTAGAGGGGGTTTAATCGATGATTAAGTATTAAATTGATTCGACCCATTCCAATAATTATGTATGATATTTGATTTTGTATTTGCCTTTAGACAGACCTGATTACAAAGATCTACCCTATTTTTAATGGTCGGAACACTTAATGAGTAGATAAGTAGTCTTTGACAAAAAAAAACAAAGAATCAACACGATTGTGGCTGCACCAAGCAGAACAGACAGGCGACACTCAACTCGCCGCGTCAAGCAACTTTAATAGCAAATAACTACATCGGTATCATACAAGTTGTCTCAATATTAAACTTCACTAAAATTTAAATGAAGTGTAAAAAACTTTATCTAGGTTCACTGATATTCCAACAGAGCTAAAAATGAGGTTCCTCATAGGAAGATATTTTTCATCTAGTCCAAACCAAACGGTTCAATTTAGAATAAAAAAACTGCGCTTTGATAACGTTTCTTAAACAAAACAACATTTCCTACGAAACCAGAAGATTTTAACATCAAATATTTGAAGTGTCGAGTTACAAAATTCAATTTTTTTTGGATTACTTTTGAACAAATTACAACAATTTCAAATAATTGTCATACTATTTCTCTTCTCGAAGTTTTCGGTTAAGAAATTTACGCCATAAAATGCATCATGATCAAATGTGCATATACGGGCATCATGATCAAATATAAGTATACGAAAGCCCAATGTGATCTGACTAGTTCATTTTTGCCTTAGCTTTTGCAAAAATCAAAAGGAAGAA